TTGCTATAATAGTATAGTCGTTATTATTATTATTATTTTTATATTTTAGAAAGTTAATAAATATTCTACGATTTTAGGACATAGAAAATTCTAACATCGAATGCTTAAAATCAGAAATGCTAGTAGCAAATAATTGCTTTCAAAACAGTAAAGATGAAATAAAAGAAATTATAAATAAAGAAATATTTCCCATTGTATACAAGTTAATGCAGGTTGGTTAGTTCTGCGACATGCGAACGAAGTTTTTCTCCATGAGGAGTTTGAAAAACTAGTTACGAAGCAGCTTATTGCAGCAACGTTTTACAAATTTAAGTATTATAAATATTCAAAGGGATCTTGCTAATTGCATTGTTTCCGAAGAAATTTTAACCACATTTGTAAATGTTGACCAAAAATTATGTTTAACACTTTAAAATTACTCTCTTAGTATTAAATTATAAATTAAAAAAAATATAATATAGTCAAATACTATAGTAAAAAAATTAGATGTGTTATATTAATTTTTGCAATAATGATATTGCAAATATAATATTAGTACTTTAATTTAAATATTGGGATTATGTTAAGTTGAAGGTGTTGGACGGAGCCCCAATGATTTTGTAAGCGATTCATAATTGTAGCACCCCTAAAAATTGAACTCTAGTTGCACCACTGGTCATAGACCGGGCACATGTTTCTTGATTTTTTGTTACGGTTGTTTTCAATGATGGAGTATAGCCAACTAGTGAGTGATGGGCATAATCGAATGATTAGTAATCGAGACATTTTCATAATCGAGCGAATCTCTCGAAAAATCACTCGAAGTTAAAATCGTCTGCTCGTATGATAAGAATAATCAACTATTATTATTTATCGAGAGAATCGAAAAATTATTCGAAATATGAATAAATATACCTATACTAAATAATTATTAATTTAATNCCTATGCTAAATAATTATTAATTTAATTTTGCTTTTTTTATTTGTTGGTGTTTATTTATAATTAATATATTAAACTATAATTTAGGAATAATAATAACAATAATATATTAATAATGCATTATTAATAAGGGTCCGGAGATTGCCACGAACTGATGATGCCCCGACATTCATTTACTCCGACACTGTAAAAAAATCCTCCGAATACATTTACTCCGACAACAATTACTACGAATACCTGGTTACAAAAATTTGGATGTTGCTACGACGACGAATACTCCGAATAGGACTATTAATTGATTGCTCCGAATGAAATTAGCTCCAAATATCGATTAAAAAATTATCAAATTTCGGAGTAGATGAATATCGTAGCAATATATTATCTGATGGAAAAATTTAACCCTTATCTTTAATTAATAAATATTAATTAATATAATAAAATAGCGTTATAATTGATTACTGTCTATTAACGAATAATTATTACAATAAAGATCCCCGAAATGTATCCGACTTTTGATAAAATAGGTACATAAAGGTAACATAACTGGTGTGAGCCCTTAAATTTTTTTTTTGAGGGGAAAGAAGAGCGATTCCAATTTTCATACGTAAAATATTTTTTACCTCTCCTTATTAGTGCTTATTATAACATTGTAAACACATTAATNGCTTATTATAACATTGTAAGCACATTAATATTATAACATTCAATTAGTTTAGTTAAAAAATATAGAGGTACGTTTTTATGATGATAGTATTCGTTATTAAACAGATGCGTTTATAAAGATATTCGGTATCCCATTCTCTAAAACTGTCATTACAATTAGTTTCATATGAAATCAAACAAAAATATGATTTAATATCATTTCATTGTTCAAAGGTGGGCAACGAAATTAATTCATTCCAGTTTGGATTTGATCGCAATCTGGAGAGACTTGAGGGGGCTTTGTCTCCTAAAATTCTGCCATAGACTATACCGAAAATGAATTAATTTGTATTTCTTGTTGTATAGAAATATTTTTTTAGATTAGGTAAAAAATTATGTAATTAGAGTTCCCAAATGTTTTGTTGCAATACTCTAACGCTCTAGTCAAATTAAGTAAACACAAGGCAGTTATAAGTTAACAGTGGACAATAGTTTATGATTTATAAACTTATAAAAATCTTCTACTAAGTAAATTGGTTTTAAACTTAACTAACTCGATTAAAAATATGCAGTCAATTCATTAAATAATGGTTCAGTTTTTTTTCATTTGCATTATGATTATTTGAAGTTTTGTCAAATATACGTATAGAGTTAAATATTTTAATTTATAATCA